AATTAATGTTCTTCGGCATGACTTCACGAGAACTTGCTCCTGCTTCACTTTCCTGATTCTTCCTACACCCCCACTTGCACAGCAAGCTATAGCGATATAACAAGCTATGTGACACTGGTGCAAAGCAGTACGACAGTGGAACCAATTACCTCAAGAAGTGGCGAGTGCTCCAACACTGGAGGCGTTCAAGAGAAACTTAAGACAACCGCCTGGCAGATACCCTTCAATTTGTATTCTTGCATCGAGCAAGGGTTTCGACTTGATGGCCTTATAGGCCGCTTCCAACTTCACTACTCTATGATTCTATGAAATCAGATAAAGACACCTCTCTGCCAAACTAATTTCTTTGCTGGGCTCAGCCCAGAATAATGATACGGGAAACTCTCATCCTGATATATCGCAGGACAAACCCGTCTTTTCCACCATAATATGCACACAAGTGTTATAAAGGTTGACCAGGTATAAGAAGTGAAGAGAGAAGACAAGAATATCCAAATAATAAGGCACTCTCAAAGGGACGTTGCCAATGACTGAACGTCAAATGTGAGGCCCAAGGAAGACAGCCAAAGGGAACCAAACAGAGGCCTCCTGAACAAGCTACTAGGAGAACTCAGCATGGGTGTGGATGGTAGAAAAGAAATTGTTTCCTACCCTGAGTTCGGCTGGCAAGGCGCAGTCTGCTAGCAGAGCCAGGTCTTCCTGCAGTCGTGAATCACCTGCAGGATCAATCGTCAGCACCTTCACACAGGTCCCTGGCTTGGAAGAGACTGGAAGCGGCAAAACAAAAATGGAAAGACCCAGAGTATTGACTCCTGAATACTACATAGAAAGAAGTGAGAGCTATCCGGATTTTTTACTTTAAAATTCAAAATCTGTGTATGCCTCCTACGCAATGTTCCACTGACAATCACAATACCAATTTCTTTAACCCCCCCCCTGCTCTTGTGGAGGGGAGGAGGGGGCTCTCCCAGTTGCACTGGAGCCCACCATCCCACCAATAGAATGCCACCACTGGATACGGCCCCTTTAATATAACACAGTAGAATAGCCAAACCTCTCTCATGGGTGAATGTCAGAAAAATAAATGAAGCATATATTGTTTATTTTACAGGTGGAGTGACTGTGGAGCACGGTATTTTCTTTTTTCTCTGAGAAAGCCTACTTGCTGAAAAGCAATCAAGCATTTGTTTCCTCTCCCATTCCGACATTTGCACCAAAAAAACCCAAAATACCTCAAAACACTTATTCCATCACTGTTTTCAAGGAAGCATCTTAAAGTCCTGTATTTTAAAAAGATCATTGCAAATGCTCTTTAAGTTTAGCTGTATGATGACACTGCCAAGGAAAAATGCTGGGCGGGAGAAGGCAATAATGCAAGCTAGCTGGCTGGCTATGTATCCCAACAGCAACTAACATATACCATAAGGCATCTATATATAGACCAACAAAACAGATAATGCAGAGCTGACAAAGAGAGGAATGTGTTTTTTTTCCTCAGTGCCTGCCAAAGAGAGATACACCTGACACTGACATTCTTTCATACCTTTGTATGGAACTTTATTCTATAAGTACCTGGCGCAAACAATCATGTCCGTCCACCAATGGAAAGGATGCAACGTCCCCTCTAATTTTCCACCAGTGCTGCAAGTGGGGTTCCAGCTGCGACGGGAACCAAATGGGTGGCAGCACTGGCTGCGGGTATGCAACAGCCATGCACCCACGCAGCTTAGGGGGAACAGTGAAAGGCTACCGCAGCAGAACAGATTCCTACTCTCCCTGGGAGCCTACATGTTCCCCTAACATGGTCCAGAAGTCTCATTTAATCTACATTAATCTTGTTTGTTAAACATTGTGTTACATGGGTTGCTTACAATCATTTGTTCTTTGCATCTTGGTGTCTTCTCAGTTGTCTCTTCAAAATCTATACTTTTTAAAACATTTAAACCGTTCATGTGTATGTTTTAGTATACAATATTGACTACTTGACTACTTTTATAAAAAATTTCTTTACATAATTGTTTAGCCATTTCTATCTCCACATTTTCTATCATGTCTATATCAACATTGCAACTAGTATATATTCATTAAGTACTATTTGTTTTGCCCCATCTTTATATCTAACTTCAATTTACCTTAAAAGCCACCATGTTATACCTTTACCCTGATTAATGATCCCTTATTTCAGTTAAATTCCCCCTTTTAATACGTAAGATATGTCCCTTTACAGTTCCAGAAGTATATACATGCTTTCAACAATGAGGCCACCTTAATATTTCCCCCTTTTTCATCTTTTCTAAGTGATTCCATCTCTTATTTGTATTTTCCCAATTCTTGTTTCTATCTCCCTAAATATTCTGTTGTCCCTTGTGTAACTTGAAAGCATTTTGTACATTTGATTAATCTCCAATAGATCTTTATGCATCTGATCTATCTCCAATATGTCTTCCAGGCTATTTTAAATTAATGTTGCTGATTCCTGCCCCCCCACAGCTAAGATTCTCCTTGGCTCTCCTGAGTTTCTCCCTCTGATTTCCTCCAGTCCTTTTCTTTGGCATACATAGTCCTCCACCTTCACATTTCCATGTTCAGTGTTTTCTGTATCTTCTTGAATATAGTCCTTCTTTAGTTGTTCTGTGAACGATTGCATGTCTTGGTTCTGGGATCTCACTATTTCTTAGATTGCTTGCAGGGTAGATTTTGTTTCCTCCCCAAATCTCCCTTGTTGTGACATTATGCCCTCAGACTTCAAGTGAAAAATGTCTAGTAGCTTAGAGCTGTCAGTCCAGTTCCATCAATAGTTGCCTCAGTAAGTTGATCATCTTTAGGGTTAATTGAATCCAGTCTCTGACGTAGTTTGGCAGTCCCGTTCATTCAATGTTTGTATTAGACTTTCCAAAGTTAATTGTCTATGCTTTAGTCAGTTCTCAAAGGAAGAAAAAACCGAAAGACAAAACAGTTTCCGATCAGGTTTCTATGCTTTTTCAAGGTCATGTTTCTGGGCTGTTTGCCAACACTGTAGACAGACATTACTCTGAGCATTGTTTGCAAAAATAATTTTAAGAGGAAGATCTCTTAAGTTTAGAACCAAAGTAATACAAAACTTCTTTCCTTGCAGTATAATTAAGTGTTTTATTAATGTCCAATTTATTTTCTTGGCTTCTTTGCGTCTCCTTCCCCTTCTCCAGATCCACCACTGCTTAATTTAAGAGTTGGAGCTAAGAGGCCCTCTTTTTTTCCTGTTAAAGGAATTTTTCCATCGAGGGATAGTTATAGAGTAATATAATTAAGATTTTGTATCTCACCCAATGTTAACGACGATGTTTAATTTGGCTAGTTTATTGCTGCTTCTTTTGCCGGCTGTCGACGACTTGCAAGCAGGCTTATTCAGCTGCTTGTTTCCACCCACTGGTTGACTGGGGAGTTTCCTGGATCAAACATGGGTAACCACCCCCCCCCCGCGTACCAAAGGCTTTTT